GTCTGCCGTAAATGAATATTCCGACGATTCCTTTCTGAGCTTTCATATTGCTTGGAGGAGTGAGTTCTCGCAGAGGTCCCATCCTTTCAGGGTCTGGGTTAACGGTCTCTTTACCTACTTCATAGACCAGAAGTTTAACCTTCCTTACTCTGTAGACACATTTATTCTCATTTAAGGTGAGACTGTACATTGCAATCAGTTCTTTAAATTTTGCAAAGATAGTGCCATGTTCTATTTCATTAATATCACAAATGGTCATGTGATCTATATGCGCGAATGTAAACTTTAGGCCTTCCTTTTCGATTATTTCATCGAAAATTCTTTGAAAGCCAAACACACCATTTCTGATTCTGTTGTAGCATACCTACGGACAATAATGGGTAAGTCCCCATTCATATAAATACAGTAGCAAATGTGGGTCTGCAGTTGGATATTTGTCTCCAAGTGTACTGGTCAAACTCTGTGCCTCCGAGCAGAGAGGATCCCCAGACGTGGCTTTGTCGAAGGTCAGAGTCTCGCCTCGAGAAACAGCTACCCGACTCCGTTTTATACTGGGAAATTTTGTCCGAGCCTACTGGATCGGATACCCAACATTAAATTCGGCCTTGTGCCACATCTGACCGTATTGGGCGGTTGGTAGATATCCTGCAGTTGGAGATTCGTCTTCAGCTGTGCTGGTCAAACTCTCTGCCTCCGAGCAGATAGCTTCCCCAGACGTGGCTTTGTCGAAGGGCAGAGTCTCATCTAGGGAAACAGCTACCCGGCACCGTTTTATACGGAGAATTTTTGGCCGAGCCTACGGACTGGGTTACCCGAAAATAAATTCGGCCTTCTACCATATCTGACCGCATTGGGCGGTTGGTAGATATCCTGCAGTTGAAGATTCGTCTCCAACTGTGCTGGTCGAAATATCTGCCTCCGAGCAGAGAGGATCCCCAGACGTGGCTTTATCGAAGGACAGAGTCTCGCCTCGAGAAACAGCTACACGGCCCCGTTTTATACGGGAAAATTTTGTCTGAGCCTACTGGATCGGATACCCAACATTAATATACCTTGTGCCACATCTGACCGCGTGGGGAGGTTGGTAGATATCCTGCAGTTGGAGATTCATTGTGGAATTCACTTGACTCACTTCTAGCAGTTGACTACTACTTCTACGCGCCGCTGGCGAATCTTATACGCTTTGTACATGTCCTAAGTATTATCGTTCATTACCAACCTTCGTGTGATTATTCTATTCAGTAACCTTCCCTAGGTTACAACAGATCCAAAATTGCATCCCTATGAAATTTAGTACTGGCTTCAAAAGCCGTGTAAGAGCGGTCTTCTTTTTGTAAGGGAACTTGATGGTATCCACGTTTTAGAATACTTTCCGAAACAATCGTTATAGAAGATAGGCATCTTTAAAGTTGAAATGATTTATCGTTTGCGAATAATCTATGACTAACCTTTTTTTTTTTTGTGCTCATCTCGGACATTTACTTCGGCCAATGATATCTGAACTCAACATGCTTTTTATTTACTTCCTTATAAATGCCACTTCTTCTCTAAGCAATCTTCGGGATTTCACAGATATAGGTCTACAGTCAGGCAACAGATTTACAGAGAAGGTGGAATCCTTATGCCAGCTGGTCCAAATAGTTTTAGATTTGGTCAGTCGCTTCTCATAATATTTCTATTTTTATGTTCAAGCCTAGAAATTCTTGCGAGAAGATCACATCTGCAAATAAATTATTCATTAAGTTTACATTCATTTTTTTTATTGTAAATTTCTGTAAGATTCGTTTTTTTTTTCATTTTTCTATAGTTTTTCATAACAAGTCAGATGAACCAATGCTGACAGTAGATTTAGTAGGTCTAACGTCCAAACACAGACTTATCTTAACGAATCTGCTAGCGTGTTATGATTCTTTTTTCATGTTCACGAGCCATTTTACCATGTCTTTCGAAACTTATTGCAGCCCAATAGTTATCGTAGCTGTGATAGGTAATGCGGGAGAAGACTTATTACATTTCAAAAGACAGACTTTAATTAAATGACCTTCCTTCTTGCAATTGTAGCAACTCGTTCCTCAAGACGGATACATACTTATAGAGTGTCTAGTACCTCTACAGAAAAAGCACTTTTCTTTTAAAAGAGATTTGTTAGCAGTGGATGTCCGAGAGTCTTTCTTCTTTTGGTTTTCCTCTTGCTGAGGAGTTAAGGCGTTATTCTGGAGTTCCGATAACGACGCCGCTTGGTAGTTTGTGTCGGTATCAGCTTAACAGGCCTCAGGATTGAGGATAGCCATTTCCACACACCGCGCTTGATTTTCAGCTTCTGTGAGAGTGAGCGCGTTTTGTCTTCAAAAGTCTCTGACGAGTGCGAATAATCCAGGAAATAAAGGCATCTCTAATAGCTTCCTCTTTGGAAACTTGAGCGGTAACATCTTTGAATTTACAATCCTTCGCTAGAACGTGCAATGCTTGAAGATATTGATCCGAGGATTCTCCAGCCTGTTGTGTTCTGGTTGCAAGTAAATGCCTGGCGTGTATCTCACTTTGTTCTTGGACGAAGCTTCTCCAAAGTTTGTACATTCGCTAACAAGATCCAACTCCTCCTCACTCTCAGTATGCTTGAGAATGTTTTAAAATGTTTGGTACCAATGATTCCATATTTTCTCTGCACGGGGGTCTTACGATCTAAATCCAGAATTTTATGCTTTAGTACCCTATCCATGTTGATATCTGTTATACCATAATACCTATTCTATTGTAATAGACTCTCCAACAGATATAATTAGTAGTAGCAGTGGCCAGTTGGGCTCAGTGGTGTTGAGTGAGTCAGTCGATGTCGGACATTGAAGTATCAACCATCACAACTAGATTGCTGCGTCATTAACTCTTATTTCAAGTTCCTAACGTTTTGTACGTCGAACCTAATTTAGGACGACTTATTGAAATACAAGCCTCCACTGTGAAAACTACTCTACAACACATTTGCGACCGAGGATTCGAAACTCACACGGGAAAAGAAAAACTTTTCCTACGCCTAACAACACATTGGCGACGAGGATGAGATTCGAACTCACGCGGGGATACCCCAATGGATTAGCAATCCATTGCCTTAACCACTCGTCCACGTCGTCACTGCGACTACTACTTATATCTGTGGGAGAGTCTATTACAATAGAATAGGTATTATGGTATAACAATATCCAAAGCAAAAAATTTGTAGTGAACAGAATGCCGTAAGCTATAAATATTTGGAAGTATTTGTTACGGTTTTTTGGGTATATACTATATATAACTAGTGAGCGAGTCAGAATGACTTATTTCCCTTTATAGTTGACCAATAGAAGGTTGACCAATCAGAAGCCGCACAACACTGTATTCGTCGTGTATAAAGGCGGCCATCTTTGTTTCTTCTAGTGGAAGGACCAGAGGCAACTTGTCCGGCGGACATGACAGACGGAAGAACTACGCTCTGCTACGATATCCACTGCGAACCTGCACTACGCTTTCCTACTGTCTCCGAGATATTCACTGCCAACCTCTGGATTCTATACTCGAGGACGACCGTCAGGAAAATGTCTAACAGTTTTCACTATTATTTGTCTGGTAGTTTAGTCTTAAAGTTCAGGATAAACTGATATATTTAGTTTTCAAATCCTCAAAGCCGTTTACTCGATAGTAATTCCAAAAACAAATAAAAATCGAATAGAAAACTGGAAAAATTCATTAGATTCACTCGCCTCAAAAGACCCATTGTCCTGTTGTCCTCATCTTTATTGTCATGTTCACGACGTTTCGGCCTAAAAAGTTGGTTGGATGCTGTGACTTGACTCAAAGAGTTGTGAGTTCAATACCTGGCTACTGCAGTGGTGAACAAAAGTTGAGTTAAAGGGAGATAACTGAGACATCCGGAAGAATCACGTAGAACTAGAACAATCTATTTCGGTTGAGGAAATCAAGGGTTCTGTTCGAAATTCGAATCAACTGAAGAAGGCCGGAGCGTACAATGGTCGAAACTTCGTGAACATGACATTACAGATAAAGACAACAGTCCGAAAAATGTAAATAGTGTAGATAGTTGCAATACCTCATATCAGGAATATAGACAGGTAATGAAAGAACGATGGACATCGTATATAAATTTTTGAAGATTAGATTTAATTGGAAAACAAGGAGCCGGAAAAGAGTTCTACAAGCGAGAAGTGCGAGAGAAGAAACTGTTAGCATAGAACTTACGGTTACATCTAGCGGTAAAATGATGAGACCTAACCGCCAATCTAGTCGTATTCTTGAATTCTTAAAAACGAAGTACCAAAGAGTAAAGCTCATCAGAACAATTTCCATGAAAGTATTTATAGAAAAGGTATAGAAAACCTTCGTGGAAAATGGACTGAGGCCGATGTACCAGGTCAGGACCAAAAATATTGTCGATTCTTCTTTGTATATTATCGAGAATAGTCGTATGCTTAAATTCATATAGTAGTCCTCGGTATGACGATAAACTACACCCGGCAGAAAGTCATCTTATCGGGAGACGCGGACACGAGGTGGCAGCAACTGTTAGGGTCCAAGTTATGGGCAAATAGAGAACCCTAAACAAAAGCAAAATGGTATGAAAGTATAAAAATACATTCTTATCGTAAAATACCAGCAATACATTTTTATATATAAAAATGACCAACAATACATTTTATAGCAGAATTACCCGCAATACATTTTATAACAAAATGACTAACAATACATTTTATCTGCAGTTGAAGGCATACAATTTCATGAAAAATATATTTAGTTGAAGACATAAAACTGTGTTCCAAATATTTAGAATTCGGCATTAAATAACCCATAGAGGTGTTGATATGCCGCTAAACAAAGTCAACCAACCAACAATACATATTTATAGTAAAATGACCAACATTACATTCTATCTGTATTTGAAGGCATACAATTGCGTTCAAAATATATTTAATTGAAGCCATAAAATTGTGTTAAAAATCTTTAGATTTCGCCATTAAATAACCCATAGAGGTGTTGATATGCCGCCAATACAAAATCAACCAATAAACCAACCACATTTATAAAGTCTTGGTA